ACTCTTTCCTCAGCAAGCTCTGTGTGTTTGCACAGGCTTTGGGAAACTGCCCGGTGGACGGCTGAAGGACGGCCAGGAGAAACCCCATGGCAAACAGTGACATCCTCACGGAGCAGCAGGAGAGCACTGACGTTACGCTTCAGTGCACTGAGTGTTCTCTCTGACCCCTCCACAGTCCTGGGTGTGAAATAAATTCCTCCCCTCCACTGGGAATACCTCACTGCTGACTTCTGCTACGGTGCACCCTCCAATGTCCTTCCCCATTCCTACCCTAGATGCATTTACACACACAATACACTTCAGGGTTAATCTGATTATCACATGTTCTGGGTGAAATCCAAGTGACTTTTTTCCCCAGCCCCTACAGGTTTCAAAATACAGGCACTTATTATAAACTTTCATCTTGTGCCTAGCACATGATTGCTTTCCTCTGGCAATTGGAGAGGAAGTAAAAGTAAAATTTGGACACAGAAACAATTGTCAGCTCTTCAAATTCCTTGTTTTATCATATGCTTTAGAGTAAATGGTTGCTTAAAAAAATCTTAAAGCAATCAGTTCAATAAGTACAGTGAACCTAAAAAATGAGAAAATAAAAAATGTGTGGGCGAGCTATCAATTTTTCTAAGAGGAGGCAAGCATAAAATATGGTCAGACTGAGTGTGAACATGGGGCAGAACCAGAATAAATTTTTGTCTTTGCTTGTTAACATTTCAGTGTCAGTTGCCCTTCGCAGGCCAGGATATGGCAAAGCAGCTTGAGAAAGGAAGTAATAAAGTTTTTAGAAGAAAATAATTTTTTGTTCGTTTAGAATCCATAGGGCTTTGACAGTTAATGACACACTGAAATCTGCACCTCAATCTCCTCCACGGGTTTGTGGGGAACACAGGCAATCTGCCAATAGATTTGCAGAGAGCACTTTAAGCAGCTATCTCTGGACCTGGACACAATCCTGGAATGTTGTTTTTCTCCCATCAAGCAGTTTGCAAACACATCTGTGTTCTTTACTCAATACATCACCGGGCAGCCTCCAGACAACCCGCCTCTTTCTTACTATACATCAGCCTGAGCAGAGCTGGCAGAGCCCTGTGGGTGGCATTAGAAGTTGTTAATTCTTTGAAGTTGGCAAAGGGACAGCACTTGTTACGCTGCTGGTCAAATCACACATGAATTATTGACAGTTCTCTTGAGCTACCA